GAGAAGATGGATTCTGGCTTAGCAATCATTGGAAGGACGTAATAAACCATTTCGGATCTTAACTGATTGTGTTCACGTTTACGGTGACTTTCAGACCGCGTTCCACTCACTGGCATTGTATTCTCCGCAGGGAATGGATTCTCCCGATACGTTCCATTCATTGGCTACCACATTCTGATGAGCTCCCCCCCCCCCTCTCCTCCCCCCTCAACTCGCTTTTAAGGGATTACATCTTGAATCATTGCCTCACTTGATGCAGCTAATCTGGCTGTGACGGTCCCTACTGATGACGGAGACTTGTGTTGCCTCCGAAACGTCGTGAACATAGTATCGTAATTGTATAGTAAACATATAGCAGTGTGATACACATTAGGGTGAGTAGAATAATACATAGTGTTATATTAAAATGTATAATGTATAGGGTGGTTTATAGCAATACAGTATATAATTTAATGTTGGGTTTATCTATGGCAGTATATAGTACGGTGTATGCTTGTGTGATGTAAGAGCATAAAGTTTAGATGGAAGCATATTATATAATTTTTACGACGTAGAATTGTAATGTATTACTTGCTGTTAGTAACTCAGCTTATTGTAGAGTATAGTAAGTATACTGATGGTGCTATGCAGTTTATACTTTAGTTTTTTATGTAGTTTATAGTTTAGTTTTCTACGTGGTTGTTTAGTAACTGCAGCTACATACTATTAACATTCCTTTCCTTTGTTAATGCTACTCCCTGCACCCCCCCTTGGTGCTGTTGATCCTGCATAATGCATGGGCATAATATGACTATGAAACCCCCCCACCCACCTCCTACGCATTTCCCATGAATATGCTAAATTCCTCTTCATATGCACATTATTTTTGTTAGGGCGCTCTTCCACCTCCAACCCAGCTTATATATAAGCTCCTAGCTTGGTAGTGTCTCATTCTTCACCTGAAGACGGCTGCTTGCGTTGTAGCCGAAACGTCGTGAGAATTATTTTATTTTATTATGTTTTATCTTTATTATTGTATTACTTCCCTTCTACGTGACTTTACCGAAAGAACCAAGAAGAATTATTTTATTATGTTTTATTTTTATTATTTTATTTCTTCCCTTCTACATGACTTTACCGAAAGAACCAAGAAGATACATAACGTGGTTGAGCAATAGGGAGCCATCCCTTGACCGCACCCGGGCATCGATCAGCCTCCCATTGTATCTGTAGCAGATGGGAATTCTTCCGGTACAGGCATTGAAGGCTCGACGAACTACGTGGTCCAATGTGGAAGCCAGAGGACATCCCTGTTGCACCCCAAGGTGTAAAGGGAATGTCTCTGACTCACGGCCACGTAGTTAAGACACGGAACCTCTCACCATCATGAAGGTCATTAAGGATGGTGATGAGTGGGTTCGGGACTCGGAAAGCACGAAGGGCAACCCAGAGGCCAGGCCTACTGATGGTATTATAGGCCTTGAGCAGGTCAATAAAGCACACGCATGGACTAACATGCACACATGGACCTACAGACACGCAAAGAAATGGAGTTACACTGACTAACATGGAGGCATGCACGCACAGCGACTAACACACACGCACATGGACTGAGACACACACACATATGGACTGACACACACAAACACATCGACTTACAGACACACACACATATGGACTCACACACACATAGACATGCACTTGAGATATGCACACATGGAGTTACACACACATATCGACGTACACACATACAGCGACACACACACATACATAGAGTGACACACACATTGCTGTACACACACATACACATGTGGACTGTTACACAGACATCCACTTGAGATATACACACATGGAGTTGCACACACATATATGGACGTACGCACATACAGCGACTCACACACACACACTGACTCGCACACAGCAATACGTGAACTCAAACACACATCGACGTAAACACACATGTACTTACAGACACACACACACATATGGACTCACACACACATAGACATGCACTTGAGATATGCACACATGAAGTTACACACACATATCGACGTACACACATACATAGTGACACACACATTGCCGTACACACACATACACATGTAGACTGTTACACAGACATCAACTTGAGATATACACACATGGAGTTGCACACACATATATGGACGTACGCACATACAGCGACTCACACACACACACACTGACTCGCACACAGCAATACATGGACTCAAACACACATTGACGTAAACACACATGTACTTACACACACACATATGGACTAAGACACACACACATGAACTTACACATACATACATAGACTGACACACACATACACATAGGGAATGTGACACACAGATATGTACTTTAGATACACAGACATGGATTAAGACACATATGGACTCACACACAGACGCATTGACGTACACACACACATCGAGTGACACACACACATGTATAGACTTACACACACATGTGGACTAACACACACACATATGGACTGACACACACATACACATCGACGTACATGCACACAGATCGATTGACACACACACATGGACTAACACACACACATAAACACTTTGACGTTGTCTGTTCGAAAAAGACATGGAGTTAAAGACACACATGGCTCTACACGCACACACATATGGACTCAAAGACACACACATGGACTCACACACACACATCGACGGGCACAGCAATTCCCGATGATGGCACAGCTATCAGTATCGCAGTACAATGTATGAGTAAATAGCGTGACGTGAGCGATGGAAACAATAGAAATGCATTTAAGAAATAAGCAGAAATCACAGACTGGCAGTAGACCGTGGCAGCGTCATAAAAGCGCAGCAAAAAAAGGTGAAATTGAGCAACCCAAAAACAGTTTTGTGTACACAAACACAATTATTGTAACATGTCAACTTGTTTCATAATGGTAAACAATGAACCTGAGTTGTTATCTTGACAAAAACATAATTATTGTAACATCTGTGAACTTGTTTCATAATGTTGAACAATGAAGCTGAGTTTTTATCTGCACACAAACATTATTATTGTAATGTTTGTCAACTAATGTGTTTAACAATAGTAAACAATGGACTTGAGTTGTTAGTGTAAGAAGCAAGGAACTTTGCACTTACCATAAGCGTGTTGAGGCCTTGTGCCATGCGTAGCCCCCCTCCTGGCCTACATGGGCAAGGCGGTGGAGTTGGCACATTGCCAGGCTAGGGGCTGGGCCGCTACACCCCAGCATCCCCGCGCACAAGAATAATGCTATGCAAGCACTAAAATATTATTATCTACGAAGGCTGTACTATAAACTGGACGCATCGTGTTAGGGGGGGCGAAGAGGACATGACACTGTGAAGAAATATCGGCAGCGTTATTTGTGTATGTGTTGGCTGTAAAACGCGTAAAAGGAAATGCCCTCGTGAGTTGGAGCGAACGCGCATCACTTGGCAGGGTCCGCCCCCCCACGCAATTGTCGTCACTTGGTACGGTCGATGTTGCGCAATAAGTAAATAATTGATAATAGCAACGGCACAAATGTGTTAATTAAACTACTTTAAAGTTTACGGATGGGAAAACGGAATAGCCTATTTCCACCGCGGGGCTTAGGGCATGCCGCCTGGCAAATTTTTTTCTACATAAAGCCCACCGTCCGAGAGCCAAAACCTCTCTGTCGTCTCGACAGCCCTGTTCTTCACCTGAGGACGGCTGCTTGCGTTGTGGCCGAAACGTCGTGAGAATTATTTTATTATGTTTTATTTTTATTATTTTATTATTTCCATTCTACGTGACTTTACCGAAAGAACCAAGAACATGAATCCCTGCAGTCACGAAAGCTTTAAGCAGATACCTGGTTATACAAGTCCTCTCCCCGCGTTGTTCCTTTAAGGGACTCCATGGTAAAAAAAAACTCCTCTGTTATCGCAAAACTGTCGTCAATGCCTCGGATCAAAATGAAGAGCTGAGCAGTGTCGTTTACGTCCGTACTTTCATCCAGTGCTAGTTAATATAATTCAAAGGAATCAGACTTTTTGTTTAATTGACTGGCTATATTTTTATCAATCAGTTCCACACAGCGAGTCACAGTCCTACGTGATAAACTGACTTTTTCAAATTTGCTTTTGATCTCTGGACACAAGATGTCTGCTGTTTGTACCCTGTAATCTTTTACAACCTTGCCTTTGGAAAAAGTGGTAATGAGTGGTAATGTTGGTGAGAATAAGTTTTTAAAGAAAATTTAAATCGAAGTGAAGAAGGAAATTATTGAAAAGTTTGTATAATTAATGATTTTTCAAACTTTAATTATGTTTTCTGTGCTTATAACTCTTTAAAAAAACTGTGGGGTCTAGAACGGACTCGTGAAATTCGGAGAGAACTCGGAGTTAAGTTATGTTTGTTTTGTTCAATTACACAAAGCGTAACAGTTATGTATAAACTTTTGTTATATAAAATTCCTAGTAAGATATTAATTTTGTGATGTAGTCATACCCCTCCCCCTCATTCAAGCCGTAATTTAGAGAGCGAAAGCGCCGAGTACGTAAATCGTTAACATAAGAACCCATTAATCTCTTCTCGCATCATTCATACGATGATGCGGTGAAGTAAACGTTCATACGATATTACAGTGAATGCTTCCAAAAACAATACTGTACCCAAATATTACTGTTAACATACTTTCAATAGAAACATGAATTGCTCATACGAATATTCTCTCTCTCTCTCCCGGTCAAAGTGCGCAATCTATTGGGGAAATGGGGGCATTACGGGAGGAAGGTAACATTTTATTTAATAATAATATAATATTTGGACAAGTTCAGCGGGCCGGATTAAAAAGCCCAACGGGCCGCATACGCCCCGCGGGCCGTGCTTTGCCCATGTCTGGTGTAGGCCCACACCGTAGTGACGCTCTAAGTCACTACACAACTGATTCACAAAATCAACCAGAAAGAAGCTTTGTGTTCTCTTAACTTGAGTGTGTGCAGAGTGCTTTCAATGTCGTATCCCAAACCTCTCACCAGGTGAGGAAGGTTCGGCCTGCAAGCAGGCTTGTGACCTCGGCACGGCAAGCATCCTGGTGGTGAGGGTTGTGAGCCATGGCATGTAGGGCCCAGGCCAGGCCACTGGCTGTAGTGTCATGGCCAGCAAACATGAAGGTATCCACCTCGGCCTGTATGTCCTCCTCGGTCAGCCCATTGCCCTCGTAATCCTGAAAAGTGGGGAAGCCGGTCGTTGCAGATTATTATTCATACCCATTGTGACCCTATGTGCAACCGAGAGGCCACAATGTCCATGCCATCTTCGCTCTTCACGATCGGACGCTCACCTGCACGCTGAGCAAGATGTCGAGGAAGTCAATGTACCGCTTTGCTTTGATCTTCTCCAGTTCATCTTCCCAACGCAAGGCCTCCTTGCGTTCTTTGATCACTTTAGCTGAATAGCAGCACACGTATACACAAGCACAAGAAGAATATTCTATATTTACCCTTAGATTGCTGTGACGTAGGTTATTCGCAGGGTTGTGACCTGCACTTTACTGGTCACCCTCTACGTTTACGGGGTTCCGAATTTCTGGCAGATAAAGGCAAAGGTTTTATTTTTAAGCTGTCTATGAGTAGAGCGGAGACACGGCTGTTGGCACACTGCACTGTGACCCTCACCCCTTTCGTCTTATCATGCTAAGTGGGGTATCTTAGTCTGTGCACGTGATAGTCGGCATGCGTGTGCGCCCACCATACCCGTGTGTTTGTGTGCGATGTTGCACGCCTTGCGAAAGCGGAATCCCAGTGGACTCAGGTTGAAGATGACATCAAAATGGTATGGGAAGAGCCTGCTCCGACGGTGCACCATTTCCGTGAGATCAAACACCGCCGACACGTAGGAGTTGTCACTGGCCACCCAGAGCGGGGCACGGGCAAGAGAGGTCACGCGAGTTACAAGACGCCGCTCAGTGGCTATTAGCGCACGTGACAGACGGCTGGTAATTTGGGGAGGACCTCTTGACATATATGCAAACATATGATTTGGTTGAAGAGAATCGCTATAGGAAATCGCAGGTTGCTATTACATTTGTAGGTAATTTAAGAACTTGGATCATGAGACTGAGGCGTGTGGATGTCTGCGCAGTGAGTAGAAACATCTCAATGGTTTCGTGTAAGGTCATGCATCACACTTTGCCAAGGTAAATCTGCATTATTCAATCACAATGATCATGGACTGGGCAGAGGCACAGGGAATAAAACTCAAAATAGGCCATTTGCACCTGGACGTCGAGCCGGTGATAATGGTTAACTGGGAGTTATACAGGACGTAGCCAGGCCTAGCTGGGCATTACAGCTACATCAGATGTGCGTGCTGCAGGTGTGAGAAGTGTCTTGATTGCACAAGTGCTTTTCAAATTGGCGCTTTCTTTCGTGCTCTATTGTATTGTACGATAGAAACAGCCATTTGTCCAGGAGCAGAATGCCAATGTCGAGGCCTGCGAGCCCCTGCCCCATGCCGCAGTGCTTCCAGCTCTGCACGGCCTTCACGTGCCCCACCGTGTCACCTGTCCGTCTGGCAGCTGCTGCGGTAGCTAAAGGCACACTTCATGATGCTGTCCAGCATCATAAGGCTGATGTCCTCAAACACGTCGAACAAGTTCTGCGTCTTGATCTTCTTCTCCCATTTGTCCTGTTTGATGCAAGTGAAAGACAAAAGATCCTCATATAGCCTTTAACGTATTTTTAAATCCTTTATATTAAGTTCGCGTGCTTGCTTGCTTGCTTAGGACCGTGCAAATCTTTCGGTCGTTTTTTAACCCACTTCCCGTGATCCAATCGAGCTGACATTTTCCACACAGCCTCGTTGTGCCAGACAATTATTTTTCGTGAAAAAAATTCCCAAAATTGTACACTTTTTAGGCAAAAAAATTTTATTTTACATATATTCAAATAGAACGCATTCATGGCTTTGGCTGAACGTCAGAGTGTAAGAGCCCAGAGCGTAACCCCTCCACAGGCCGTGGCGGAGTAGCGCAGTTGGTAGCGCCCTCGCTTCCCATGATAAAGGTCGCGGGATCGATCCCCGCGTCCTCCACAGGCGAATATATTTTTAAATCCTTTGTATTAAGTTCGCTTGCTTGCTTAGGACCGTGCACATCTTTCGCTCGTTTTTTAACCCACTTCCCGTGATCCAATCGAGCTGACATTTTCCACACAGACTCGTTGTGTGTGACAATTAATTTTCGTGAAATTTTTTTTCCAAAATTTTACACTGTTTAGGGAAAACAAATTAAATATTTAATTACCAATTGCTTAATACTGGCAGACAATCATCTGACCCATAGATTGCAGCCATCTCAAGCCAGAGGACGAGAGGACTCTAGCCGCCACGCATATAAAGGATTTAGAGTGAAAAACTTTGTTTTTACGGGTTTACTTGTTGTGAATGAGAAGCGCTAAAACAGACCTCTTCGACTCAATATATTAGGTTACAAATGGTTTTTTTTGTTTGCTTTTTTCACTTACTCTATTCTTTAGCCTCACAGCACCAGAGGGACTTTAAACATGCCTTCCCCTCTGCACAGAAAACCTGCACTTCTGGATTCGGGCCTGCTTCGTAAAACTGAAGCCGAGGCCTGTGTTAGTCTGCTTCACACTCCACGTACTCAATGGCGGAAAGAGCCCTGCGCAAAAAATCTAAGGCCTCTTTTCCACTCATCTCCCCAATTAAGGAAAGACCTGAGACCCCTCATGGAGAAACTCGTGGGATGCTACAAGCTCTTCTAAAAATAAGTCATAAACTTTCCCAATATATCCGGAAGCATCTCTGGCGCCGGGACAACGCGTATCCTTACACGGGCAGAGCAGCGCAGGGTACTCTTACTCCCCAAACAACTCTCTTATTTGACTTCTTGCACCATCCCCTTCTCTCCTCCCTCCTTATTCCTCCCACCACCTCCCCCTCGACCACTCCAGATGGGCCTTGTATTGCGGCTTTGTTTTTTTCCTTCTAGGATCCCTCGTAGTCGAGTATGATTTCCATCCAGGTGTCACTTGTCCGGGTTGTGAATTGGGCCTGGCTGGCCACGAGTCCAAAGGTGGCTGAACAGGCTGATCCAAGACCTGCAGATCTTGATGCAGTGGGGACAGGGATAGTTCATCCTGGAGCTCGGACGTGTTGCCTCGTCTTTGGTGTATGTGTAGTGGCCTTTATGACGATGGAGAATGTTGATGGAGGCAACACGTATTTATTACAGCTAACTTCAATTACAGCAGAGTAGCGACCCTGACACTCGAAAAGGTAACGGCCTCTTCACCCGTTCTATCAGGTGAAGTGTTCCCCAGCTAACGCCCCCCCCCGCCCCCTGTTAACTCCCTACTTCCTCCTATTCCAGACCTTCCTCCCGAGGAGGCTAGCTAACCTGGCCCAGCTTCGGCACAGGTCCCGACCACCAGCCACACGAGTCCGGCCCTTAGAAGGACATCGGCCCTCACGGCTCTGGGTCGCACCACTGGCTTGCTCTGCCCGGCCCTCAAAAGGACGGTGGGTCAAAGGAGTTCCAGGGTCTTGTAAGTCGGCCGGTTTGGCGTGTGTGTGCACCAACACCACCACCACCACCACATATGTGTATGTACTTTGAAGCGTGCTCTTTTCCTAGCTATCAATTATTTTGGTTCGGCCTTAAAGTGTTGAGTTCCATTGTTGATTTTGGACCTCCACGATGGTCTATCAAGGGCATAGATTTCTCAGTTTTTTGGTACTATATGTTTTGAGGTGTGTTTTAAGGTTGTGATGAAACCCTTCTTTTGACCTCCAGGGGCACTGGATCCATCCCTGAGCTGGGAAGAGAAGATTGCTGAGGAAGCCTTGAGTCATTCATCCTGACAAGGTGACCTGCCCATCTGAGTTAGTGCTTCATTATGGTGGCTTCTGTACTGGATGAGTTGGATCGCTCCAGGATACTTATGTTAGTTTGTCTTTCTTCTCAGCTGATGTTTAGTATTTTCCTGAAGCAGCGTTGATGACACTTTTCGAGGGATTTGATGTGTTTGCGATGGGAGGTCCAGGGTTCTGCACCGTATAACAGGGTAGGAATGAAAGCAGCATTATAAGCAACCACTTTGGTCTTAGTGGTAATGTCGTGGTCTTCAAAGTCCCTGTTTCTAGGCTTGCGAAATGCAACACTAGCTATCCTCAATTAAGACATTGCTGCAGAGATGGCTAAGTATGGGAAACTGGGAATTTTTCCAGTATTGCATTGTTAGTAGTGATTTTTGGGGGTGATTGGTGTGCTCCCGGAGCTTTTTGGAAGATGATCTTGTTTTGCTGGTAAAGAGTGTTAGACCCATCCTGCTGTAAGCTTCTATCAATTTGTTGACGATGGCTTGAAGGTCAGCTTATGAGCAGGCACTGACTTGGGCATCATCTACATATTGGAATGTAATTGAGGTTCTCTATTTGGCTCAGAAACGGTTGATGTGGAATTAGTTCCCGTCTGTCCTATATGCCTCAGGGGAGTTTGCTCTCTGTCAGGTGAAGCATTTCCACCAGGAAGATAGAGAAAAGAGTTGGTGCAATAATGCACGCTTGCTTCACACCAGTCCTTACCTTGATTGACTCTGTGGTTTCACCACCTGATAGGATGACAGCCTTAATAACGTCATGCAGAAGATGGAGGATGTTGTTTCCGTGTCTGTGATTTTCATCATTCTTACCTGATGATGGTTGCTTGTGTTGCAATCGAAACGTCGTATTCTATAATTATTTGTTTTGATTTTCTACGTCACTTTACCGACACAACCAAAGAGTAATTCGTGCAGTCACGAAAACTTCGAATCTAGTTATAACCATCAACTGTTTTCCTTGGCTGCCTAGTGAGACTTGTAAATGATAACCGAATCAAAATAATAAGTTCACACTGATCCACGTTGGAAGCGAAAAAGCAATTACACCTCAACAGGAAATCAACATACATGTTTAGGGGTGGGAATATTAAAATTACACATTTGGATTCAGCACCGTCCAAAGTACAGTACTAAGAACCATAATCCTTGCCATGGCTACTGCAAGGTAAGTGCCCACGGCGTGTGTGACAACTGCGTGAGCTTACGATGAGCACTTGGGTGCTCTCCACCATGAGAGACACGTAGGGCTTCAGAATATCCATGTGGAAGCCGGGGCTGAGCATACGGCGACTCCGGAACCACCTTGGACCAGATGAGGTGAGGAGACCCAATCCTGCCCACAAGTAACACAACGTTAAAAGGTCATTTTGATGATTACGGTGATGCGGCATGCAGTGTGTGTGTTGGTGTAGATGGGAGGTCTGCTGGCGGGGTCAGTGTGTGTGTGTGTGTGTTTGTCGGTGTAGAGTCCGGAAAAACAACCCGCTACCTCCTCGCAGTGCCAGACGTGCAACTCTGTCGTGGACAGTGCTGTGGGGGCAGGGCCAATGCCCATTGGCCCTCTCCCCTCATGGCGTCTGACCACCACAGTGGCTAAACGGGGGCTTTGGACGGGTGTGAGGGGCTGGTAACCCCTCCACCTTCAATTCATTACCACGAAACCACGACTTAAACATAAATATGTAACTAATAAGCTTGTACCGGAGGCCCCGGGGGAACAGGCATCTATGACGTCTCCTGGCCAAACCCCAATTGGCGGAGCCAGGAGATTGAATCTTCACCCTCGGGGCTCCTCCAGAAACAACGAAAAGCCACTTTGTGTGGCCACGTGGAATGTTCAAACGCTTACTGTGGAGGAGAGGCTGTCACTCCTTTGTCGGGAGCTGGACTGGTACCGCCTGGATCTCTGTGGCATTCAGGAGGTCCGGTGGACTGGTTCTGGCTCCTGCCACCATGAGGGGTGGACAGTCCTCTACTCGGGGCAGGAGACTGCCAAACAACAAGGTGTGGCTCTTCTTCTGAACAAAAGAATGAAGGGGGCGTCGGAGCGTGGCGGTGAGTTGTGGGAAGCTGTAAGTCCCAGGCTACTTTGGGCTCGCCTTCCCATCAACCGGAGGCAAGGAGTGGTGGTCGTGGTTACTTATGCCCCCACCGAAGACGAACATCCGTGGAGGGATAACAGGCAAAGCCGATGAGTCAGATGCCTTCTATGACCTGTCACTGGTGCTGGCTAAAGTGGCCACTCAGGACAGAGTCATCTTGTTGGGTGACTTCAATGCCCTAGTTGGTCATGATGCTGGCACCTGGTCTGGAGATCAGCTCAATAACAACGGTAGGAGGCTGCTCGATTTTTGTGCAGCTTTTAATTACCAACATGCTATAACAATGCACCATCAGAGTATGAGAGCTCGGTCTTTGAGGTGTGCGCCTTTTGGCGTCATCTGGTCCAACCCATGTGAGACTAGGCTCTAAGGAAAGCTGTCTCGGGTGTGGACCAATCAACTTCAAGGACAGTGCACATTATCAGAGTTATGTTCTTTTGTTTGTATTATGACTGCAGGTATTGCGGTCTATGCAAACATGACTCCTTGTAAAAAGGTGTCAGTTTTGTTGCCAGATATAAGGGTAAAAAACCAATTACCCTTCATACGTATTTATGGCTGGCATGTGTTTGTGCCGAACCGTTGGAAGACAAAGGTGGCTGAGGAGGCGTTGATTCTATGGGATACATATTATGTGGTCCTGTGTGTTAGATTTATTCCTTGTATCTCGGTTCATGTTTCATCAATATACGTAATGCTCCTCGTTACGTCATTATTTTGAGGGTTTTGCCAAGCTTCGTTATGAGTCTGTCTCCAGGGATTAGTGTTTATTTTGAGTTATATTTCGATGCTAGGGAATAGTTTTAGTTTGGACTTAAGTTTTTCGTGATGGCAGGGCTCATGTATTTGGTTCATTTGGTGAAGTTACATAGATAGACAGATACAATACAAAACAATATATATGAGTTGTATAAGGGTGAAATAAAATAATTAATAATAAAGTCACTAATAGATTGCAGTCTTATCACGTTGATTTGTTCTTTTTGCTGAGCTTCAAACTTTTACTGTTAAAGAAAACCGTTAAAGAAAACTCGAGTTGTAACGTTGTGTGTCTCTGCTCTGAGCGTGTGTGTTTTTCTCTGGCCCTGCATAGTTATGGTGAATGTCCAGAATGTTTTGGGAAGGTCGGGGTCATATAGGCCCTTTGTCAATCTGGAGATTTCCAGATAGTCTCTAACCTCTCTTTGCCCTGAAGTTTGTTGTTTAATGGCATTTTACGACCTCCAGATGCTTGGTGTGGCTTGTGAGGGGTAGAGTTGAGAGTTTTAGGGGTATCTGTTTTTTTATATATACATTTTTCCTATTATTATAAAAAATAAATACTGGCCGAATTATTCTTTATATGAATTTGGAAAAAGGGGCATAATACAACAGTGGTTCCCCTCTTTAAGAAGGGGGACCGCACAGACTGTAACAACTACAGGGGCAACTCACTCCTCAGTGTGCCGGGAAAAGTCCTGGCAAGGATTATTCAACATCGCCTTACTAAGCACGCTGAGGAGAGGCTTGCGGAGCACCAATGCGGTTTCAGGAAAGGGCAGTCCTGCACAGATGCCATATTTGCTGTCCGTCTGCTACAGCAGAGGTGTAAGGGAATTCCAACAAGACCTACATCTCTGCTTTATTGACCTGGTCAAGGCCTATGATACCATCAGTAGGCCTGGGCTCTGGGTTGTTCTTCGTGCTTTCGGAGTCCCTGACCCTCTGCTCACGATCATTAAGGACCTTCATGATGGTTAGCGGGCCCGGGTAAAACTACGTGGCCGGGAGTCAGAGCCTTTCCCTGTACACTTTGGGGTGCAACAGGGTTGTCATCTGGCTCACACATTATTTAACATATATTTTGACCACGTAGTTCGTGAAGCCTTCAATAGCTGTACCGGGGGAATTTCAATTTGGTACAGATATAATGGGAGGCTGATTGATGCCCGGGTGCGATCAAGGGATGGCTCCCTATTGGTCAACCACGTTATGTATGCGGATGATTTGGTAATAGCTGCTCATTCAGAGGATGAGTTGGAAACGCTGCTTCTGAGACTTACCATCAGCCCCACCAAAACTAAGCACCTGCCTGGGTATTTTGTACCATCAGACACTCCACCCCCACAACTTCCAATCGGTGATGGGGCAGTGGTGGAGAGAGTGGAGAGTTTCCCATACCTGGGCAGTGTGCTTATGACCAGGCTGGATTGGTTTTAACCAGGCTGGATTGTGTGAGAAACTCACAAATCCTTGAAAGATCTGGGCAAAGTCCCTTCGGTGAGCTCTTCCGGTAGGCAAGGCTGCGTTGGCTGGGTCATGTAGCTCGCATGCCCAGCCACCGCATGCCTAAACAGCTTTTGTTCGGCCGGATCGAGGGGGCTAAACGGGCGCGGCACGGGCTAGAGAAGAGATGGAGTGATGTGGTACAGGAGGACTTGGAGATGAGTGGACTTGCCGATGACTGGTACCAGCGGTGTCAAGATCGGCCTCTGTGGAGGAGTGCTAAAGCACAGCAAGTTGGCACAGTAGGGGGCACAGGTGGTGCATCAGCCAGTCATCTCGGTCATCTCAGTCAGTCGACCCGTGGCACCTGGGTTTGCCCCATGACCTCCTGCCAGCGGGCGTTCGACACTTCACATGGCTTCAAGGTGCACATGACCTGGCACAAGCGTCGTGGTGACGTCACCGCCACTTAGTGGCGAATGGCGGTTGTTGTTGTAGATGGGAGGTCTGCTGGCCGGGTCAGTGTGTGTCGGTGTAGATGGAGGTGTACTCGCTTGGTCAGTGTGTGTGTCTGTAGATGGAGGTGTACTGGCTGGATCAGTGTGTGTGTGTCGGTGTAGATGGGAGGTGTACTGGCTGGGTCAGTGTGTAGTGCCGTGATATCACGTGGACAACTTTTTTTTTTCTCTTGTTTCACTTTTATTCGAACAGAACTCCTCGCGTTAAAAAAACACGTAAGGGGCCGTCCATAAATGACGTAAAGCGATTTTGGACGATTTTTGACCCCCCTCCCTCGTCACATGGCGTCACAAAAAGTCAGAACCCCCCTCAAATATGACGTCACTGTAGTGCGTATTTAATGTGGCGCTGCACTCTGATGGTGTAGGAGTGTTGTTATAACAATTAGGTTTGTTATAACAATTCTATATTTATTCAAAGTTGCGCATTTTGATGTCACGTCACATTTCTCAACCCCCCTCGTCACACATCGTCACAAAAATCTGACCCCCCCCCCTAGGTGCGCGACGTCATTTATGGACGGCCCCTAACTCCGTCGCAACTCTCCCGCTTGCGCTGCTCGCCTGCTTCGCTCTCTCTTTCTCCCTGCCTCTCCACAGCTAGCCTGCTCTCTCTCACTCTGCTGGAGCGCGTGACAGTCCGGCCGTGCGGCGCACGCGCCTGGCAGTGCGGCACATGTGCTGAGGTGTGGCGCACGCGGCGGTCTGAATAATGTGGTGTGTGCGCGGCGGTGTGGCGCGCTTGGCGGTGCGGGACACGCGCCGCGGTGTGTCACGCGGAGTGAGGCGGCGTGACGCACGTGGCATGGTGTAGCTGTGGTGCCACAACGACGGGGCCGCTCTGCCGAACCAGGGAGCCGCCCGGCTTCCCCCACCGCACTGCCCCCCATCACCCGCCCCACATAAGCACACACCCGCACGCATTCCCCCCCCCCCCATAGAGCTGGAAGGGAAGGTCACCTGATCGACCGGTTTTTATCCGAGAGACCCTTATCGGGATTAATTCTCACGGTTTCCGGCGATCAGGGAATTGGATGACCTCCCCGTGCTACGTGGCACCGCGGCGCTGCGGCCGGCCTTAATATGGTAGGTCGTGGCGTGGGGCATTCGGCCACTGCGGTTGAGGCGCATTTCCCCCCACACACACTCCCACGGGTCGACGGGGCGAGCAGGGGAGGCACGGGACAGCATGAATAGCGGGGTCACAGGGGCTGTTGCGCATAGTCATGGAGGGTTGGGATAATTGCGCTTGAGCGCGCAGGCCCCATTGTTAGGGAGGGTAAGGGATTAAGTAGGATTTACGCCTTGCACGCGGCACACTGATTAGCATATCAACAGCACCCAGAACCGCCGTGCGCGTGCCAGAGGATCGCGAGCCCATTGTTTAGCGCAGCATCCCCTTGAAGGTAGGGAGGATAAATAGAGGGGCGCAGAGGGAAAATAGCTCCCTTCTCTCCAGGCCAGCGGACCAGCAGGACTTCCAGCCAGCGACCCGGACGTCCGTGCGA